TTTTTTGTTGTTCATCATGGATGAAACATACTAAAGTAGTTGACAGCTGCAGCCCTAATATCAGTAGTCTAAAATCCCTTCGATTTTATTTGCTTTCTCATCCTGGCTTTGTTAACACTGGCTGTGCTCCATTTGGCTCTGATGATGGTGCGCTGCATTTCCTTTTTCGGGATAGGCTGGCAAATGTGCCTCAGTGGAGAGCAGGTGGTCATGTGGCAGCAGGTATGACATTTAATCTCTGTCAGCTAAGGGAGGAAAAGCAGCAGGCAGCGTGACTCAAGCTGTGGCAGCGTTTACCTGTTTATTTGTTTATTTATTTACTTATTGTCAGTTTGGATTTGGCCGCACAAACTGAAGCGGTTTTCATTTTTCCCGTTTCTATTGTTTCGCTTCTGGATACAAATAATTAACGAGACTGCTCCTGGGAGTATTTGTGTCTAAAGGCTAGAGACACATTTCTGAACAATATGTGATACCCAGCATGAACTCCAGGTGGCACCGTGTTTTTAAAAACATTTTGGTTTTTCATTTAAAGTCTTTGTGCTTCATTCTTCCTCAGGTGCACTTATTCTGCACTCTGACCTGACCTTGTCTTTCTATACTGACCACAGGGTTCCAGCACAAAGGCCAACCCATCACCTGCAAGCAAACCAGTGGATGATGACGATCTTGCCAAAGGTAAAGTTATTGTGTTCAATTCATTTTTTAAAAATCCAAAAGCTCTACACAGATTTCATAGAAAGTAATCTGATAAAAATACACGTGAAAACCTTTAAATTGATTCTCCGTGGCTGAAAATGTGATTGGAGCATGAAAATTAAATGAATCTGACATGTGTGCCAAGTCTGTCTGTGCTAAATACCCTTTCTTCATTTCCACTTCTCTTGTTTATTTTCTTCAGCTATCGAGCTGTCCTTACAGGAGCAGAAGCAGCAGGCAGAGACACGCCCCATGACCATGACCTCTGACCCTCCAAACTATACTAATGGCGGTGGGGGGCAGGAGGCTCGGAAGGTGCGTGCGCTGTACGACTTTGAAGCAGCTGAAGACAACGAGCTGACCTTCAAAGCTGGAGAACTTATCCTAGTGTTGGATGACAGGTAATATTTTATAACACTTCCTGTCATGAATCAGCTCTGCTATATCTCGCTCTGAACTGGAGATTGCTATACATCCATTTATTTCGTCACGCTTGGATTATTGTAATTCGCTGTTTATGTGTCTAAGCAAAGGCTCTCTGGATCGTCTGCAGGTTGTGTAAAACGCTGCAGCTAGGCTTTTGACAAAATCCTCCAAGTACTCACATGTGACACCGTTGTTATCTCAGTTACACTGGCTTCCTGTTAAATTTAGAGTC